GCGGGGCGGGTTTGCTTAAGCACTAATGGTCTTCTATTTCATTCTTTTATGGTGACAGTCATTTCTTGTACTGACGTTTGAGTCTATGAAGAGAATAAAGAATGAGATAGAAGATCATCAAGAATATGAATTTATGATTTATTGGGATGGTAAACTAATCATTTTCATTTGGGTCTTTCATTTTCCTCTCAAATAATTTTTTCGGACGTAGTAATTAACTACCCCGGTTTTGCGATGGTGCAATCGGACAGCTCGACATCAGATGGCGCGGCTTATGAAGTAATGGATAACTTCATAAGGAAGCCATTTGATGGTTCCATAGTATTTCTCATACTTACCTTAGAAAATCGATGGCGATATTATTTTCGAGCAGCAAAAATTGAGAATGGGATGGGTTAATTAGTTTAAATCGATGGCGATATTAGTTTATGTGTATAGTTGCTCATGGAACTGGATTAGTTTTACTTTTCCTGTGTGTAATGTATGTTTGTTAAATTTATTATGAGTTCTTGCATTGTATGGGGATCAAATTTTTTTACAATATATTTGCAGTTGTTTTTTTTTTTAAATTTTTTTTAGGGTGATTGTAATATTTGGTATACAAGAGAGGGGGATTGTAATATTAAATATTGTCATGCGTTCGAATTTATTATATGTTTGTGTTTGGATCTTAAGCTATTGCATGAAGCCTTAGAAAGTAGAGTGATTACAATGGAGGCACTCGTCTATGGTTCATTTTTTATTTTACATGTAATAAGTGGCGAAACCAGCCGGTCATCCCGGGGAGGGCCTAATTTGCCGCGGCGCACCACCCCCACTTCGGCATCGGAAGGGCGCTCAAAGGGCTTTTGACGCTCTTAAAAATTTTCGCAAGATATAAAAGAATACTTTAGAGATTTTTCTAAAAATTAAACTAAGTTCGGAATTAAACTGGTATACTTAAACTGAATTGTTTTAACTTGAAAAATACTCGAATGTTATACTAATAAAAATCTCGGACTCAATAATATCTCCTTTCGAATAGACGAAAAGCTGAAAAAATTGAGAAAATGAAGCCTCAAACGATCGAACTCGTCCTCGATAAATTTGCTCATCTTTTATAACAACTCTAAACAAATGGTATTGGAGGTAGAACTTAAGGCGACAAATACAAATGTTTATGGCTTCAATGGTTCAGAGGGGCATCAGGTAGGAGAAGTTACACTACCCGTGGTGTTAGGAGAAAAAAAACACTCGAGAGGTAAAAACAGGGCACTGGTAGTAAATGTCGACTCAACCAATAATATGATCTTTGGACGACATGCCTTGAACTCGTTCCAAGCTACTGTGTCAACCTACCATATGAAGCTAATATTTTTAGTTGGAGACCTAGTCAGTGAAGCAAAAGGAGACCAAAAGCTATCACGATCTTGCTGCCAGATGTCGGTATAGACGAGTATGTGAGCTAAGGTTAATAAGGGAAACAACACGTAACGCGAGAAAAAGAAAACGAAGTGGTGGATATGAAACCTTCAAGTTTGTGCTTAAGAATGTTCTGAATAAGTTTAGCAATTAAATGTACTTTTTTTGAGTGAGGATGGTAAATAATCTTTATTGAGAATTGTTATTGCTCCCTCACCTACTTTTGTGATGTCCTGTTCTAAGCTCCCATGCAAAGAAATCTACAAGTTAGCTTATTTCTTTTGGTGAGTAGTTAAAGAAGATGGAAAATCCCCTTATTTAGAAAGGGCGCCTCCTCTTGCAAGCTGTTCGAAATAAAAAAAAAAAAAAATATCTGGGGCCTTCAAATTACTAGAGACGGCCCTATACCAATTTAGATCACTAATAAATTATTTTACATGGATCCACATCAAAACAAATAGGCCGGTCACATGTTATTTTATTGTTATGTTTATATATAGTTCAATATATTTCAAAATTTACCAATTTAAGTCTTACATGTTAATGTATTGTTATATATTATTTCATTGAATATACTCAAAAAAATTTACCAACTTACAAATTTAATTGTACATAATTGGGTCCGGCATTTTTAATAATATGCCATCATGAAAATGTCTCGCTCTTATTTTTGGATCAATTTTTCATTCAAGCACTAAGTATTGGTGCCATGATGAAGCTGAAAACTTAAAGCTAAAGATAATATGAAAGGCAGGACACATGGGGTTAGTTGTAATTAAACGATACTCTAATGAAAAACTCAAACCGGGCGGCCCGTAATTGAACTAGCTAGTTGTCATTCAAATCACTGAAATCGGTCGAAACAAGGGATTAATTGTTTAACTGAATATTTAAATTAAAAATGTAAAATTATATACATGTACTATTTTAATATCATTGATGTATATAAAAATAATAAAAAGTAATATTTCATATGTAAAATTTGTATGTTAAAAGTCTTAGTAATATTGTATTTCATTATAAATATTTACAACAAATGCGTAATTTTATTTTTTAAATATATATATATATATATAATAATTTTATAAAAGTTTGACCTTTGGGCGTTGGATTGGGGCTTAACGCTTATGGCGCCTAGACCGGGTCAAGAAAAGATTATTAAATTTATTTTTATTTATCATTTTGTATAATTCATAAAAAAATATTATATAATATATATTAATTAATATGATGAATACAAAGATTATGCAAAATCTAGCGCATTGATAATTATTTTGATAATTTTAGTATAATTATCAATATATTTTACTGTATAATTAATATAAATTTCATGCACAAAAAAATTATGTATCCTTATTAAAAAATAAATTGAAAAGAAAAAATATATACCAAAGACTACCATGATCACCTAGCCAGTATAGGTTTGAGTAATTTTGCAATGGCCTAGTCCGCCTAATCTCTCGGCCACCATAGCACCTAAGTGCCTAGGCCGATTTTTAACACACACACACACACAGACACACATATTTATGGGTTTGCCAAAACGAGTTGAACTGACCAGGTAAATACTTGTACTGACTGAGCCAAAGCCTCGTTTATCAAGTTTTTGACCCGATTTTACTAGAACCCTTGCTAACCAGCTTGAAGGAACAATTATGGGTTCGAGTCGACCCACCGACTTAGTCCAAATTAATAAAGTAGTGACTCGAATCATGAAGCACATGTCATTTTTAATCACCGAGATAATTAAGCTATTCATATTTATAATTATTGGCACATGAGAAAGAAAAAGTGGAAACTGGTATGGGCCTAGCTAGAAAGTGTGTTCAACTGGGCTGTATAAAGGTATTATCTGAGTGGCCAATTGAAAGAGTTTATAATGATTAATTAGAATCAAATTGACCCAATTGACTCGAAGACCACGACCAAATGATTCCAACTTATTTTTTAGGCACTTTGCTAAGTGTGTCAGGGTTTTTTGTGAAATACAGCTCTCCCAAAAGTGCGTGAGGTGAGGAAGTAAGGCAATTTTTTTTTTAAATGGGACATGTGTCTCATTTCTATTGGGTAATGAAATTCATATATCATATTATATAAATTAAATTATCATTTATATTTTGTATCAAAAAATAAAAATAAAAATACCAAAATTTATAATTTTTCATTCTCTACAAATAGAGACCACATTTGATATTTTTTGGAACACAATTAATTTATCATTTTTTACAATTAATTTATCTTATTGGAAGATTATGACATAAATCTATAATTAGATGAATTACATAGTAAGATGAACATGTTATAGAGTAAGATGAACATGTCATAGAATAAGATAAAAATGTTACATTTTCACAGATGAAATTTAGATGAACATGTTCTAAAATAAGATGAACGTGTTACATAATAAAATGAACATGTTATAGAATAAGATGAACATGTTACATAATAAAATGAACATGTTATAGAATAAGATGAACATGTTACATACACACTAAGGTGAACATGTTACATAATAAAATGAACTTGTTATAG